GCGCCCGGTATTCCGCCGAGCTCAGAGGCAGCCATCTGCGGATCTTCGTGAAGACGCTGACGGGGAAGACGATCACCCTCGAGGTGAGTCGTCCGACACGATAGAATGTCAGGCGGAGTCAGGACAAGGAGGTGGGTGGCCGTCGCGAGAGGATGGGCGCGGGGCGCGATGGCTGCGCGGAGCCGATGGCGGGGGCCAGGACGGGGGTGTTCGCGCCGAGGATGGTTGTTGGGAGGCCGGAATGGCGGGGAAGGGTGGAGAACATCAGGGCGTTATCGCTGGTTGAGCTTGTGGTCGTTGCGGGATAGGCCAAGCAGATCCGCAGCGATTTAGCCAACTAGAAAGAATTGGAGCAAAACGTTTGGTGCCAGTTGATTTTCGGATACCCACCTGGCGGCAAAGGGGCAACAGGTCGAGAGAGGGGGTCTGTCGGAGGTCGATACAGGCAGCTGATTGGCGGGAAGGGGCAAGGAAAAGTTGGGGCGCCGACGGTTAGCTTGCGTGAGGCGGAACGGCGGAAAGGGGGAGGCATGTCGGGCCGTTTGCACGCCCTGATTCTGATTTCTCCGAGGTAGGGAAGGGGGGGGGGGGGGCGGCTGTCGGGATGGGGCGGGCGGCGTTCTGATTGATTTCGAGGGAGGGGGGGAGAGTTTGTGTAGCACGTGGAATTTTGCGGGAGGGAAAGCGCAGGGGCCTTGGCGCGAAAGGGCGGGCCGGGTGTGTGGGGGCTGTTTGAATTCTGCGCTCGCCGGCGCTTGCTACCCGTTGCTTGCTGCTCGTTTGCGAGGCTTGAAAGAAGGGCGCCGATTTTCTGGAGGGATGAGGGGTCGTGGCGGCGTGCCGTGCTGTCTGCGCGGCGCCGCTGCACGTGGCTTCCCGGGAGTTGTTGAAAGGGGGGCGTGTGGGAAGGGGTGGGGGGTGGAGGGGGTTTGATTGGGGGGTTGATCGCTACGCGGCCAGTTGGGCTCTATCCGTTTGAGAGGGCTTGAATCCGAGTCGGAATTTTCCCGGAGAGGAGAGCGGATCGATTTGATGCGCCTCCTTGCCTGCGTCGCCGTTTTGCCGCGGTGGTGTTCGGCTGCTGCACCCTTCGCAAGGGAAGGACTTCCCGACCCGGCCCGCGGCACGGTGGCCGTCATCATCGCATCGCCAGACGGGCGGTCGTCCCTCGCGCTTGTAAATTGCAGTCCACAGCGGCCGGCCCGGGAAATTCTATATCCGGATGCCGACAGAGCGGTCAGCGGCGTGGGGAAAGCCGCAACCGGGCAGCTGATGCGGGCGTCTGTTGTGCTGACCGGTGCGCACGACCGCTGAAATCTATTGGCTTGGCCCGCGGCTGCCGCCCGCACGACGGTGGTGCGCAGGCCCCCTCGCGCTCGCCGACGCTCGTGGCTGCAGGGCGGGAAAATGCGAAGGATTGGCAACTGCCGGTCGAGGAACGGCCCACTGGACGCTTTTGGCGATGTTATTCTGGGGCTGTGACCGCCTCAGACTGTGCAAGGTTCCTGTGCCCGGCTAAAGGCGTCGATCGTTTGCTTGAGGTTGTTCGCTGCAAAAGAGGACTTGGGGTTTGGCTGTCTGTGCTTGGGAGAGGCCAAGGCATCTGGTTTTGTACATTTCAGGATGCTGCAGGACAATGCTGCTGCCTGGATGATAGTGTCCCTTGTCTGTTCTAAGTTTCAAAAAGGGGTAGGGGTGGGGTGGGGTGGAGGTGGGGAGGGCTGGGTGGGGTGGGGTGCATTTCGTTGAGTTGTCCTTCCTGAAGGGGAGCGACAGGGCACTGAAGGGTGGTGATGGGAGGGGCGGTTCGAAGTCCTGTTTCGACATTCTTTGTCAAAATGTTGCAGAGCACACACCTGGTGCCCTGGCAGCAGTGCACCACGCTGTCTGGTGTTTGCGTGTGCGATCATGGCCTGAGACTGTGATTAGAAGTTTCCAGATAGCAACACCCTTCGCCTGTAGTCAGACTATGTATGTGTGCCACTTCGATTTTCGTTCTGATGGAGTGTGTCCTGCAGGCATCCCCCCCGACCAGCAGAGGCTGATCTTCGCTGGGAAGCAGCTGGAGGATGGCAGGACCCTTGCAGATTACAACATCCAAAAGGAGTCGACCCTGCACCTGGTGCTGCGTCTGCGTGGTGGCATGCAGATTTTTGTCAAGACGCTGACTGGGAAGACGATCACCCTTGAGGTGGAGTCCTCCGACACGATTGAGAACGTCAAGGCGAAAATTCAGGACAAGGAGGGCATCCCCCCTGACCAGCAGAGGCTTCTTCGGACAAGGAGGGCAGCAGCTGGAGGACTGACCAGGAGCAGATTTGCGGATTCATTCAGAGGCTGAGAAGCAGCTGGAGGACGGCAGGACCCTTGCGGATTACAACATTCAAAAGGAGTCGACCCTGCACCTGGTGCTGCGTCTGCGTGGTGGCATGCAGATTTTTGTCAAGACGCTGACTGGGAAGACGATCACCCTTGAGGTGGAGTCCTCCGACACGATTGAGAACGTCAAGGCGAAAATTCAGGACAAGGAGGGCATCCCCCCTGACCAGCAGAGGCTGATCTTCGCTGGTAAGCAGCTGGAGGACGGCAGGACCCTTGCGGATTACAACATTCAAAAGGAGTCGACCCTGCACCTGGTGCTGCGTCTGCGTGGTGGCATGCAGATTTTTGTCAAGACGCTGACTGGGAAGACGATCACCCTTGAGGTGGAGTCTTCTGACACGATTGAGAACGTCAAGGCGAAGATTCAGGACAAGGAGGGCATCCCTCCCGACCAGCAGAGGCTGATCTTCGCTGGTAAGCAGCTAGAGGACGGCAGGACCCTTGCAGACTACAACATCCAAAAGGAGTCCACTCTGCACCTGGTGCTGCGTCTGCGCGGAGGAATGCAGATCTTCGTCAAGACGCTGACTGGGAAGACCATCACCCTCGAGGTGGAGTCTTCTGACACGATTGAGAACGTCAAGGCGAAGATTCAGGACAAGGAGGGCATCCCTCCCGACCAGCAGAGGCTGATCTTCGCTGGTAAGCAGCTGGAGGACGGCAGGACCCTTGCAGATTACAACATTCAAAAGGAGTCGACCCTGCATCTGGTGCTGCGTCTGCGTGGTGGCATGCAGATTTTTGTCAAGACGCTGACTGGGAAGACGATCACCCTTGAGGTGGAGTCTTCTGACACGATTGAGAACGTCAAGGCGAAGATTCAGGACAAGGAGGGCATCCCTCCCGACCAGCAGAGGCTGATCTTCGCTGGTAAGCAGCTGGAGGACGGCAGGACCCTTGCAGACTACAACATCCAAAAGGAGTCCACTCTGCACCTGGTGCTGCGTCTGCGCGGAGGAATGCAGATCTTCGTCAAGACGCTGACTGGGAAGACCATCACCCTCGAGGTGGAGTCTTCTGACACGATTGAAAACGTCAAGGCGAAAATCCAGGACAAGGAGGGCATCCCCCCCGACCAGCAGCGTCTGATCTTCGCTGGCAAGCAGCTGGAGGACGGCAGGACCCTTGCGGACTACAACATTCAAAAGGAGTCGACCCTGCATCTGGTACTGCGTCTGCGCGGTGGAAGTGCCTGAGTGTTGTAAGCAAAGAACTGGGCCATGTGTGGGCAGTGTGAGGTGCTGCTGCACTGTATGTGTACGACTTCGACAATCGATGGAGGTGGTTTGATCGAAAGGCTCACCTAGATGTGTAATTGATACCTGTGTGTGAACTCCGTTCGTTGTACCTGCCCAAACACGGCAGCACAAGGTCCTTGCCCCTCTGCAGGCAGCGACGGCCCGCAGCAGCATCCAAGTAATGATTTGTTCGTGTTGCGTTCGATCATGAAGCCCAACCCCGCCCCGCTAAATGTCTCTGTGTTTGGCCGGATACGGCTGGTCCATGCACTGTGGCCTCTGCTGTTCTGTTCAGCACCAGACAATGACCTTGCTGTGGAGCAGAGGTTACGGGCCAAAAGCAGAGCGTGACATTGATACAAAATTTCTGTGCGAATGCACAACAAGCACCTTGGTTCAACGTCCTGGGCTGGCGAGCATACAATAGTAGTATAGTAGTACACTATAGTACGTGGCGAGTTGACGAGAGCACCATGGGGGGGCTGCGTGCATCCTTGCGTCGGGCAGTAGTGTAGCACCACACATGGTGTTTACATGCAGGGGGCTTCCCGATGCGACCGAGAAGATGGTGGTGGGTGGGGGGGGGGATGGGAGGGGAAAAGTTGGGACGGGGAAATGGCTTCAGCTGTCCACCAGTATACTGCAGTACATAGTAGTACAATAGTACGTGCAGGACTCGCTTTAGATAGGTTCTTCGGCATCCAATTATGGCTGTGGTCTTTGTGCTCGCAGCGCCAAGCTCAGCGCAGTTCTGACTAATTGTAGCTGAAGCGCTCCACCGCAACGCAAACCACCAAAGCCTACAGCGAATTCTACAAGGGACTCATAACGCTGAGTTAATATCTATGGTAGCAACGTAAACATGAAGTACTGTCATTAATATTTTTTCCATTTTTATGAATAATCTATTCTTTTCAACATATTAAATGCCAACAATGTGTCAATATTGTGTAGAAGGAAGGAAGCCTTGCAACCCATTCTCCACTCAAGACCGCTCGGCGAACCCTCTGGCCCAGTCAGTGGCCGCGCCTCCTTCGCGCCCCCCCCCCCCCCGCCCCCCCGTCGCTGCTGACCGTAGTCAATCACTCCAGGCGGCGCACACGAATCGACAGGGCCGATCCCAAAACAACCGGACGATCCAAAAACACCTCGCGGATCGAAAAGGCACTCTGCCGATCGCAAAAGCCAAACTGGCGCATCGGATAAAACGCCTTGCGGGATCCGAACACAGAGGATCTTTGCGGAGGGCCTTTTCAAACGGAGGATCTCTTTTTCCCGCCTTTTTGGAACCGCGCTTTTTTGGAGCCGCGCCTTTTGGCGGCGCATCTTTGGAGGCGCAATTTTTTGGCAGCGCAATTTTCGAGCCGCGCCGCGGCCGGGATGGCGAAGCAGTGGATCGACATGGGGCGTGAGTCGCTGCGCGAGCGGCTGCTGCTGGCCCAGGTGCGCCACAGGGACTGGACGCTTGACCGCGGCGGCGTGGTGTACAAGCGCCTGCGGGAGGAGAACAGGCTGGCCAGCCTGGTGGAGAACGGCAGGTGGGCGGATTTCTGCTTGTTGATTCAACGTGTTGCATCGGAATTCACTGTCCGGTTGCCACCCCATTCCCAAGGCAAGACATGTGCCACCCAGCAAGGGAAGGTGGATTTCTTTTGCTTGATTCCAAAATGTTGCATCGCAATTCAGTGTCCAGGTGCCACGCCCGTCCTAAAACAAGATATGTTAGCCCCCTGTGCCACCCAGCAAGAGAAGTTGGGGGGATTCGGTAAAGAGAGAACGAAAAACTGGCCATGGCAAGGAGGCCTGCTCCTACACGCAAGTATTGGGGGGAACTCTTTCCATGCTGTGGAAAGATGATGCAGATTCTCCAGTGCAAGAAGAGGAGCGCCAACAGGGTGGGTACGATTTGCTACACTCCAAGAGAAAATGGGTTGTACAAAGGGTATCCATACTGGGCATGTGCATGTGAGACACTTCTCCACTGTCAAAGATACTGTAGAGTCTCCCACCGGTAAATGATGAGCACACAGCACAAGCAACACAGAAGGCAAGAAAGCATGCACTCAGGGGACACCAGCGGGTGGGTAAGATTTGCTACAAGAAGAGAAAGAAACTGCTCATACAAAGGGCAACCCCTCCTGAGCAAGTGGGTGATGGTGACGATGCGTTTTAAAGAACCAAGAAGCCACAGCGCACAAAAGAGAATGTCCATAGTAGCAAGCACAGGTACATAATGGGGGTTGTTGATCGGGCTGTGGGGTGTCCAATTCAATCGATTGCATGCTTGTCACAACATGAAAAGGCAAGCCATCTCGCCAAGGTTATGCTGTTGGGCCATGGACGACAGCAGTGTGTGTGGACCGCAGAAGGGGTGGGGGATGTGTGTCGTGCTGGTGGGTCTCCAAATTGTTTCAAGGTGGAATTTGGTCTCTGCATGGCCCCTGTGTTGACAGCTGGACTGGCTGTCAAGTTGATGATGTTCCCTTTCAACAAAATTGGGATATGGGTTGTGCGGTGGGCGACCGGATAGGGAGTGCCGCATGGCTGCAAGACACCGTGTGCAACTGTGAGTTGTCTCAACGAAAACAATCAAAACAACAAACCGTGGGCAGTCTTGAGAAAGCAGTCGAAAACCTTCAGCTGTCGACCTCAGCGCTGTGAAGTGAGCAACAAGGCTGTCTCACAGTGCGACCGGCCTCTTGACAGCACATGTATGGCATTTGTCCTGATCGTCAAACAAATTCCCATGCCAGCAGAAACGGAGTGCACGGCCAGCGACCTGGAGTCTGCTTTGGTTGTTGACGTTGTGGGGGGCCGAAGCAGCGTCCCTGTGTATGCATGGCGACTTGGGCAATACTATTATTTGTGTTTCCGTTTGAACCAAAAAGTTGGGCCCCGGCACCTTTGCACCTGATCAGGCCAGACCACACCATGACCAGACGACCATTGCCACCCGATGGATGGCGGAATTCAGCATGTGATTGCACCTTGCCATCGACAAACCCCTTGACTTGGAGTTTTGCTCCTGGTGGAAAAACACACACACACTCCTTGTACCGTACCAGCATTGCTGACAGCTCTTAAACATCTACACAACTTTTTCGCAACGTGTACAGCAGTGACATTCAGCCCATTGGTACCAAGCTCTGACAGTTGGGACTAAAAGAAGGGGAGGCAAGAAGGATAGAAGCAAAAGAAGAAGTGAAGAAAGAAACAGAAGAGATTCTCATGTCCTGAAACGAAAAAGGAAGCAACAGCCTCCAAGTGCGGAGGCCACATCAACATGCATGCAAGTATTGTGGTTGTTGCAGTGTGTCAATTTTGAACACTCCAAGCAGCTTCGTGGCTGGCATATGCTGTAGGCATGCTGGGAAGTCCAGGGTCCAATTTGTGGGCGTCCATTGGCTCAAGATTCGTTTCCACATTTGGCGCAGAGGTGAGATGCTTCCAGAAGATGAGTCGATGAGCATGAACTCCTTGACAATTTGTGTTTTACTAAGACGTGTTGTGTATCAAATGGTAATAGCATTTGAGTCTTTCAGTGCAGAATGAGATGCATTGCAGATTGTCTTCATTGCAAATCAATACCCTTCCACCAGCCTGGATTATTGGACTATGTGTACTACATATGAGTGTGGCATCGAGTCAATCTGTATTCCTGTCCACCGCAAACATCTCAGCTACCGAGAGGATGATGAGCACACCATATTCGAGGCTTTGCAGTATCTTTTGTCAAGAAAGGCTTGAATGGGAGCATGGGGGCCTAGGGAGATTCAAATTGGTGTCAGAGCTCATTCTTTCAACGAAAAGCACAAATGCCATGCACAGAACAGCAAGAGCGTTGTTGATCTCAGTGACAAAGAGATGGGAATTAGGCCACAATGTCCTGCTGACATAATCGAAACACATGATGGGATCGTGCTGGGCATCTGGGCAGTGATGTCAGTTGCATTGTTTTGCAGACAATTGTTGATTGATACAACACTTGACTGGTAGCTGTCATCTAACCACACCTTATGTGCCACACTCTTCTGCTATCAAGCAGCTTAGCCTGCTCATTGCAGGCAGCTGTGTGGTCAGTTGGAATGCTGCAATAAACACAGGAGCCCATTACTGAGGCAAAGCAAGCAGTGCGTGAAACGATGCACCAGGCAAATGCTGTATTGCATGTAGGAATGATGACTGGACCAGGGGTACAGTTGTCCGACAGGGTGTAACTTGTATCCTAGCATCTTTTGCACAGTTTTCAGGCATGTGAACATTGTTGTGTGAGTTCTGTTCCAGTCACGTACCCTTTTGACTTTGTGGGGTTTCGGATGCTCTTCTGTCAAGCACTGTGAGGTCCCTGTAGACCGCTGGCAACCTTCTGTGTGCTAATCATCTGTGTTCAGCGGAACCATGTGCCATGGCCAGCATTGTGATCTCCACGTTGCCATCAAGGATGCAATCATTCAGAGGCACTTTGGAACAAAATGATCGAACAACCTTGCGGGCAGCTGTGCTATCAGCATCAAGGCAATGCAAGGAGCTGAACAGGTTTGCTTACAAGGTTGTCAATTTTGGCTATGCAGATTTCTACACATCCCTCACAAATCTCAGTCTGGCGAAGTGCCTTTTCATGTTCTTCATCACACTGCTCTCGCTGTTGTGCATCTGGGCCACGATCTACCATTTCGCATACCAGTAAGTGGAATGCCACGCAGGATCATGTCATGCTAGTGCATGCGTCTGGTTGCATTTCATCAGTGAGCTGTCATTGCGATGTTGTGATCTTTTGCATTGCAAATGCACAGACCATGTGGCCCCTCCCACAATTCACCTGCCCAAATCTGCCCCTCCATGTGGCTGTATGGACATATACATTGCAACATATATTATTATCCCAGAGCAGCCTCATGGCTAACGAGGGCTTGCAAGTGTTGAATGCATGTCGCATGTTGTCCACAAACTGATGCGGTATGGTGTTAACAGGCGAAAATGCAATCACTGCAGTGTCTGGGCAGTTGTGTTCAGTGATGTTTTGCTCAATCGGCTTGACATGATTTTCTTAATTCGAATGTAAGTGTCCTGTAATGTATTGAAATTCAAAAGGCTTGGCTCGTAGAATGGAGCGTTCTCTGCAATGTGCACAACATAATCAGAGTCAGTGAGGGCTTGAGATGCGATGCCCAACTCGAAATCTGTCCTTGTACTGGGGCTCCTCTCTGCTGAGCTACAAGATTGTAGCCAAAATGGTCCCAATCAACAGTGTTTGTTCTTGTGGGGACTGGAAAGCAACGGTTTCGAGTTTGCAGTCTTAATTTTGGGATTGACATATGGACGACAATTCGATTTCCCTCTGAAGTTGAGTCCAAGACCCTGTCTGTGACTTCTGCTCCCACTGCATTGGGCACATTCAACTATAACTGCCCTAGCACTTTTGCAGCCATTTCTGGATGTGTTGCGCCAAACTTTTTTGACCAAATTGCCAGATTCTGCCGAGCAGCGCTTTCACAATTACAAGGGTATGGCAGGCCACCATAGCAGCAGCACAGCAATGGCAGTACATCGTAGCGTGTGGCATGGTATTAGTCATGGCTGTGGTGCTTCCAAACTGCCCCACATGTCCCATGCCATCCCGGCACAGTTTCTGCTGCATTCAGCCATGAGCCGTTGGGCTCGCTTTTGAACCAATATTTGGGCAACACACATGCTCCTGTGCATTGTTTTGGCATCAAATCCTAACCCTCTTTTGGGAAATGTGGCAGAAGTGCTTTTTACAGTACTTGCTTGTACCAGTTTTGTGAATGTGTGTAAATTGCAGCCAAAATGGGTGAGCCTACTCATCTGATCCTCTGCATGCGTGCCTGTCGCTCTCAGCCACGATCCCAGCTGCTTCGATGGCTTTGACTCCAGATTTCAGCCAGCCTTCATGTTTGCACTGGCGACCCAGCAGACCATCGGTGAGCGCCAAAACATCCTGTCAAGGTCAAGGAATGTGACTGCTGCATTTCTTTGTCCACACAATTAATCCTGCCATTCATGGTAATTAGTATACTGCATTACTATGCTATGTAGTATGCACAGCATAACTGTGTGCAACAAGACGTTTGTCGCAGCAACTCAGCTGACAAACGCTGAGCGGAAGCACAAGCTGTGTAGATCTTTCAGTAACCAACAGTTGATCATAAACGCCAATCGGTTCGCATCGTTTCTTCATGCCTTCATAACAAAGATGCCCTTAGTCCACTTGGATCTTGTTGACACAACTGGCGACACACAGGAGCAAGGAATTGTATGAGTCATCGCCCTCCCATCATCCATGAGCTTGGCATGTGTCTTAACACCCGGGGGGGGGGGGGCTGTAAATAGCCTTGAACATCGTTTATCAGAATCAACAGAAATTGATTACAGCAACATTTGCTGCCAATGTAACACAGTGCCACATCCATTCTGGGAAGGACACAGCATGCTGTTTTTACAATTCGATCAACTTCAATTGCATCAATGTGACCAACAAATTGGCTCGCTTGTTCGTGCAGGCTATGGCACAAGGGCAGTGACCCACTGCTGGACAGCGACACTATTAGTCACTGTGCACTCGCTCACCTCCACCGTCGTTTACACCTTCCTCACCGGCGTCGTCTTTGCGAGGATCGCCAACCCCGCCCGGCGGGGGCGGACCATCCTCATCTCCGACTCTGCGGTCATTGGCCGCAGGGACGGCGTCCTGAAATTGTGAGCCCGAAACTGAAAGCTTGAACACCTATAGCTGAAAATGTGGAAAAGTAATGACGACCATCAAATGGAGGCACGGATGTCTCGATTTCGAAGGAGTTGCACCACAATTCAGGAAAACCAAAAACAAGGCGTGGATGTTGAATTGTTGATTGGGTTGCATCCCTTGAATGAACTGAGGTCAACAAAGATTAATCTTGTCATGTTCAGAACATTGCTCCACTTATTGAGTGCCCAATATCTGACAAGCATCAGGGCGCCCACATGTCCCCACCTCCCTTGCAGTACCAAACTTAACGACACATCAGCTCATGCCAATGTGGCATTATCACATATTATCACATCTTAGATGACCTTGTTTAAGCTCATCTAAGATATGAGCACATCCAAGATAATACCACATGCATAGTATGATAAAATGGATAATGCATATTCCTCTTATGTTATTCATATTCTTCCTATTATATTCCTGTGTTCTTCCTACTTGGCCAGAGCCCAGTGCGTTACGTGCAAATGGTGCTTCTATGGGGTAACCCAGCCCATGGGCCAACCAAATTCGAGTTTCGGATTTTCAGAATTACTGACCTTTTGAATTAAAATCAATTGTGCTCTGCACAATACACGGCAAATTTTTTTTTGGAATGTTGCTTCTCCACAACCGAACTTTCATGCCATCTTTCAGCATTCAAACAGGTCTTGATGGTGCAACTAGAGAATAGCTGCAGTTTCGAGATTTTCCAGTTTTGCATTTGGGATTTTTGGACTTTATCATTTTCATGTATGTGTTTTCGATCCAAAGCCACTTAGGGTGGGATCTTGTCATCGTGGGTTGCCTTTGTTGCAGATGTGTCCTGTGGCTGTGCGCTGTAGCAGCATGGCTGTGTGTTTGAGTTTCACCAGTTGCCTCCATGTTGTGCCGTGATGTATCCCCTGCCATCAGTGGCACAATAGGTTTGGAAAGCAAATGTTGCTTTCTTCACGGTGTCCAAGGTGTTTGCAGGCTAGCCGTTTTTTATCAGACCCTTTGAATTGTCTCTGGATGTGCTTGTGCTATCAGATAGTCCTGGCAATCAAGTTTGTGGGCTAGGTGATGCTGCCCACCAGAATTGGATGAGACCCGATCGACAGTAATCTAGCCAACTCCACTTGTTGCAGATTAGTGTGTTCTTCCTTCTTTATTACACATACTCTTCCTATCAGAAAGAATGCACAGTGCAAAATCGTACCACTCAGCAAACACACGTGTGTTGTAATGTTTGCAGCATGTTCCGGATTGGAGACATGCGACCGGGCACAGTGATGGACCCCCACGTGACCGCCCACCTATTTCTGTGCGACCCGCGGCGCCGGTCTGCTGAGGGCGAACGGCTGCCGGTCGTGGCCCAGCGGCTTCCCCTCAAGTTCGTGTCGGGTTCCATGTTGCTTCCTGTCGTGGTGGAACACACCATCGACGAGTCGTCACCGCTCCATGGCCACAACCACACGACACTGGAGGTGAGGGGCCGTGCTTAATATTCCAAGATGAATTCAATTTGTAGATACCAGTTATGTTAAATTTTCTAAATGCATTGAATTGAGCAGATGTAAATTCTGGCTAATTGGTGATCTGATGGTTGGGGAATTAGTCATGTCTGTGATTGATTGTCATTGTGTGGCATCGATGGTGCTGGCTACAAGCTACGAACAGGAGGCAGTATTCTGAAGACTGAATAATACAGCACTAACTAAATGGACAGTACAAAAAGATGAATGGATCGTAGATAGGAAATACTTAAAGATATAGTCAATAGACAGAAAAGATCAACCACTGGATGGCGGTAGACAATGAATGGACAGTAAAAATAGGCAGCAAACAGTTAATAAGCATATAAATAGTCAGCAGAAGAACAGCATAAATGCGATTAACAGTAACTGAAGGCAGCGTTTGTTCACCTGGCGCAGGACGTCAGCGCGGAAATCGTGGTCACTTTTGGCGGGCAGACGGAGGCGGGGGGAGTGTTCACTGCACGGCAGTCATACCTGTCGTCCGAGATCCACTGGGGCTATATCTTCACGCCAATCGTGAAGCCGCCCACGGGGGACAAGACCACGTATGACGTGGACCTTCTCAGGTGATTGCGTCGGCAAGGGCGTGCTGCACAGCGCTGGAGCTGTACTAGTAGGAAGGATTTGGTGTTTAGGAGGGCATAAATTTGTGCGGCTTTGGCCGCGGCTGCGTTTGGCGGAGTTTCGGAATTGGCGGATTCGGCAATCTTGGTGTTGTAGCATCGGCGGAGAATGTGCTGACATTTACGAGCTGCTGTTGTTGACTTTGCTTGTTGTGTAAATGACAATGAAATGAGTAAGAATATAGATACGGGGCCCAGTACTGTGCATGTGCTTTGAGATATTCTTTGAAATGCATCAAGATGGCCCCTGCACACTGATCCAGGTTTATAATTGTGCATAATAAGTTCAGTTGCGCATAGAAAAACTGTGTGTTCCATGTGCTTCCGCTATAGTATTGCGCTGACTTGCTGTTATGTTCTGTCCTAAAGTACTACACCGGTGGCACATTTGCCCGAAAGAGCGTTGTGCCGGCGGCCTCCATTCCCCGCCCTGCTCACCATGCATTGCCGGCACGCTCCTATTTAGGTTTCACTCCATCGAGCCCCAAGATTTGGGTTTAGGGGACAACCCGCGCTGGGAGATGTCCGACTTCGTGCGCAGTCACAACCCGAGCCAGCTTCCCAGCAGCGAGTTGGGAGAGAACAACCTGGCGATCAGTGATTGCGTGCTGGTGGCCCCAAGGAACGGAAGTCTGTGTCTAATGTTCAGGTTGGGCGCACTGTGGGTGCTGGTGTGTAATGTATGGGAGCTGCGCTGGAGTTTACCTGTGAGCAGTGCTTGATGTTGGTGTAAGTTCCACTGAAGATCTGATTCCTTTTGTGCATGGCAGCATCTTCATTGGCATGAAGTGCAAAATTAACTGAATGCTGTTGTGAAAGTTGTGAATGCAGTTGTGAAAGTACGATACAAGAATTTTACTATTCTTGGAAAGCTTCAATTGAGGACATGGAAATTATACATTGAATGAATTCAACAGCGAAAATAAAGTTGGGATCGGAATGTTGAGATTAAGCACTCAAGTTCGATTTGCAGTATCGTTTTGTGCGTCTTGCTGAGAGCTTTACTCCCATTTTTGAATGGCCGTGGTGGTCTAAGCTTGAGGTCTCCCTTCATGACGTAGAAAGCTGTCAACCGATTGCTGCGCTGGCCCCAAGGAACGAACGGCTGCGCCTGATGTTTAATTTGTCAGCCACACAATGAACTGATCATGGACACTACTTTGCTGGGGTAAAACAGGAAGCTGACGGCTACCTCATTGCCTTATGCTGTGAAAATGATGATGATGATGATGACAGCCGTACAGTAAGATGAGCTAAAAGCTACTTCTTCTCCACCTTGTGCAATACTGTATTATTAATACAACATTGTTTCAAGTTTCTTGTAGGAGCAATTCTTTATTGTATGATTGTAACTTATTTTTACTCCAGGGTGGGCGACCGCCGCCCCTCAGACAGTCGCGAGGCGTCAATCAGCGCCTACCTCTACCGGTGGAGTGGTCAAAACGGTCAACGCTGGTCAACGGAAGATTCTCCCTTTGCCTGCGAGAAGCTGCGTCTCGACCGGGAGCAGGTTCTGCTGCGCTTCCCCGTCACCGTGTGCCACGTCATCGATGACACCAGCCCGTTGAGAAGTTGGCGGGAAGCTGATGGAATGCAGCGCGACGCCACGGCCGAGGTGTGCATGATGAGAGAATCAATGGGGAGGGGGAGCAAGGATATCTGCATGGGCGCTTTGCCGTTGTTGTACATTTCATGTACCACACCTCAATGATTATTCAAGAAGTAATTGACATTTTGAAGAAAGTGTTGTGCTTGATAGCCAAACTGAACGCTCAGGTGCTCTTGCGCGTTTTGAGGTGTTGAGCTATCTTTGATACTAGAAGTATGGCTGGGTTCTGATCTGTGCCCAGTATACGTAATAAGCAGTGCTTGTATTTGGATCATTGTGCTTCCATGGTTGCACTCATGGGTCGAGAAATTTGGAAGATTCTGAAATCATGAATAACCGTGGAAGTACAATAGTCGCAAGGATGGAACCATCCTGTTGTTTGAGGCACCCAAGTCATCATCATCATCATCATCATCACTAGGAAAAAAAGGACCAAATAACACTTTTGCGAACACATATAAAACACATTTCATCAAAGTTGTGCACCGTAAGAACACAAAAATAACACAAAACTGTAAACTTTGTACACGTTTGAACACGTGTTATTTGGCTCATTTTTCCCTAGTGCATCGTCGTCGTCGTCGTCGTCGTCGTCGTCATCATCATCATTTTTTAAGAACAAGGCAATGAGGGTAGCCATCAGATTCCTATTTTGCCCGAGCAAAGCAGTGTCCATGATCAATTCATTGAAATCTAATGTTAAACACAAACAACATCCATGAGTTTATTAACTCTTAGCTAGGAGCTAGGAGCATTATAATGCGTAGAAACGATTGCCAATGATGATATATCAGAAGAAGTGTCCTCGCCAGTTGAAGAGCAGGAACCGAAGCAAAAAAAAGTGTTTTGGCGTTGCGACATCGAAAAATACAAGGGTGGGTTTGACAGATGTTATCATAGGCAGTGGATGAGAAATGGATTTCGTCTTCTCAAGCCAAGTGACATAAAGGACACTGTCGCCCTGAAAATTCTTAAATAGATTGTCATGCTTGGTGTCGTTGTTGCTCAACTTCCAGAAAGTGCACCCCACAGCGAAACCGCAGGAAACACGTCCTCCCATTTTGGTGTAAAGAATCCCCAGTGGCGTGTGGCCAGAAGGCAAAGAAGTTGGCGTAAGAATTGAGTCTGGACTTTCTCCAACTGATTCCATGGAGTCTTCATAAGGAAGGGACCCCAAATAGGAAAGGCGTATCCAACTGAGCCCAGAACATTGGTCTTGAATAGATTGTATACAATTTCGGGATCCGTGATGCATAGAGCACTTTGAAGAATTAATACTTGGGCTTGGCGTGCCCTCACCAAAATAGTGTCAATATGTGACTGAAAAATTATTCCACTTCCAGAAGAAATTCCAATGCTTAAGTAGGCACGTTCTTTTGTGATGGAAATGTCCCAATTGTCAAACTATACTTGTGAGGGACCGTAGTAAAGAAAGCCACGATTCGAGTCTTTAAAGAGAAATTTGGTCCAATACCAGAACGTGATTCCCAAATCTGTAAAATCTGAAGTGCTTGTCCAATTAGATTCCAGGACGTCACGGGTACGCAAGTATCATCAGCAGACATCAAGGTGATTATTGGGAACTGAGTGATCAATGGAGTCTGAAGGTGTTGTCCAAAGAGCTGCTGGAGTGGTTCTTGAAATAAGGTGTAGAGCAAAGGACTAGCACGGCATCCTTGCATGACACCCTTCTCTATAGAGATTGATGACAACCAACTCTCTAAGATTGGGAAGTATGGTGTAGTTCTGATATGGGTTCAGTATGCATTTTGCCAGTGCTGATTGCTGGCAACTGATGGATTTAAAGCTGCTGGCAAGCTGGCGTCATTTCCATGTAGTGATGACGATGATTCAAATTCATCTATTGCTTTGCTCCAGATATGCGTGGTGATGTCATCGGGCCCATGGATCCAGAGGATGACGTACAGTGTGGCGACGCACGCCAAGCGGGACTTCCACTTCGCGCCCGTCGTTCTGCCGCCCGAGGCGGCGGTCGATGGGCACCAACAGTCAACGCCCTCCATTGACTGGTCAGCGTTCCATCGCAGCGAGCGCATTGGGGACAGGCATGGCCCTGGATGTGGGGAGATTAAGCCGGCACCCATGACCACGAAAGGATCGAAAAGATGATCCATGCGTTCTTTTGATTACATAATTAATAGAGCGTGCTAGATAGTTGTAAAGCGTCGGACGTGTGCGTTTTCTTTTTTTTTGGAGTTGGGTCTTTGACCGTGCATGAACAATTGTGGACGACAACTCGCACTGTGACATGAGAGGCCACATCGTTGCTTGTTCTGTAATAATGAATGATGGTGACAAGACATGAGAGGCGGCGTTCACCATCATCATCATCATTTTCTACAGAACAAGGCAATGAGGTGGCATCAGCTCCCTAGTTTGTCCGAGGAAAGCAGAGTCTGTGGTCAGTTCGTTGAAACCTAATGTTAAACACAAACAAAATATGCGACTCTATTAACTCCTAATGCCTAGAAGCGACTGTTGATGGTAATACATCAAAAGAAGTGTCCTTGCCCGAGGCTGCGTTCGGGTGATCAATGTTTGTGGCACGTCAAGCTACATCAGCTCAACATCCCCCGAGATAATCACAATGCGACAAGCAAGCACTGAGTCTACTTATCAAGTTTCTCCCCGGAAGGTGTGCGAGGTGCCCGCTGTGGCCTCTCTGGTTGCGAGCCTCTACCGCGAATTACAGTGAACCTCAATTAGCGCAAGGGTAGTGCGATTGGGAACAAAATGGCACTCTTTCTTCGGAGCTCCTCTGAAACCAACCACACAACGCTGACAGCGTTTTCAATGGCAGCGTCGCTTGCAGTCAGAATGTACCGAGTTTCTGTCATACGTGCACTGTTTGTACTCACCTAACTAAACATGCTCAACTGCACCCGATTCCGCGTCACTTGCAGACACGTGACAGATTCCCAAACATAGTATAAATCCAATCAAATCCGAAATCCAAATCCAAAACATTGAAATGCAAGTTTGCAAAATTTTGTCCAGTCATCCGCGACCATGTCATTCCCTCGACATCTCCTTGGTTTCTTCTCCATCCCCCTTCCCTTCATTTCCCGTTTCCTTCCTAATTTCTTCGTCTCCTGATATCTGCCGTTCTAGTATTAGGGTCACGTCTCCGTCCCTCTTGTCTCCCTTCCTCATGGCCGCCACCACGGCGGGCCACCTCATGCCGTCCGCGCCGTACACCACCTGCAAGGCAATTTCACACAACATTAACTCATTAACAATCTAAAATTAACGCCATTCATTGTTGAATTGCATTTCATTACGTAATTGAAGGGTTCCGAATTACTTGAATGAGGATTGCGCCCCATTCCGCATAATGCAAAGGACCGTCCGCCAGTACGTAAGACTTTGAACAGAAGTAGCACTACACACAGCTCCTACTGCTGCGCATTATTAGTAAACTGTGATAAATAAAATGAATGCAAAGGAAATGTAATGAAACAAGTGCGCATGCTCATCTGCATCCTTTCAAAGTAGATGCCCAACAGGTCACTGTTGCACGGTGAGCAGTACAGGCTCTATCAGGGAGCGTAAGCAAATCAATTAGGGGACTCCTTTGCTTATTCTTTTTATTATCGAATTAATACAATTCAATTAGGGTGTTATGACTGGTGCATTTTGCGCCTTACTATGTGCCTCTCCGGTGGAGCTGCGCCGAAGAGCGCCCGGGTCGGGTACACGAAGTTGGTGCACGTGATCGCTCGAAGGACGTCGCCTAGTGCATGAAACCACAGAACCCAATTAAAGCCACGTGTTCAGTTTGGTGCGTAAACTCAACTTCACAAAACTATACTGTCAGCACCGCAAATACAAAATTTGCGTAATGTTCTACCAAAAATGGCCGGCTGCCTTTGTGTCTGATTGCGCCTGCATATATAGATATAGGCGTGGGCATGGGAATGGGAACGGATGCAAGCGCAACTGGAGGCAGGTTCTGTGTTGAGCGCGAATCACTAAACTACCACAAACACGGTCGACTCAAACATGGCTCAGAGTGGCTGGTTAGGGCAGTCATTAAGGCAACAGCATGCTCATCGTCTTCGCTGCCTGGTTTGTCCACGGCGTCGACACCCGCGAGCAAACACAAAGGTCTGCATCCTTCAGCCTGTGATCTCTAATCATTGAAACCCTTGATCTTTCAGGTCATTGATCAAGAGATCATGATCTTTGATCCCTGCGGGTCACGACGCATTACAAAGAACATTTCCGCCATCGATTAGGACCGAAACGCGGCCAACATGTGGGTCACCCACTGTGCCCAATGCGCATAGGCACCTAGCACGCGGACGGCATGCAAACCAAGTACACAGATAAATACGTTCACTTGCCTGCAAATCTCGTGCACACCTCCTTTCAAGCAGGCGTGGAAACGCAGTCACAATACGGCAACTAGATGAGCCTTATTACGTGGTGTGATGGCTGCAAGCGTGGCATTTCGACCTTTCCTTTCGACGCCCGTCTTTGTGAAACGGGTCCACACTGACTTGACGCCGCCTACTTCTGAAGCAAAGGGCCGTAGGGAACAGGCACGCACCTTCCTTGGGTACAGTGTCCCTGAGAGCAGGATCGACGCTGGCAACCTGATGCAACAAACAGCGATTTCAGTGGATAAGGTTGTTGAGTAAGCAAACGGCATAAATGACATAGATGAGACAAATGTGGGCCGGATGCCTGTGCCCGCCTTTCCGGCGAACTTAGTAATGAACGCAGCCAAGATTGCAACTTTGGTTTCGCCTTTGCGCGTGGCGTGCCTCCTGATACAAGGTTCAGGAATATCGACACAGGTCAAACGCGGGACAATCGGATGCCAGGCGGCTTGGATGTTACGTTTTTCATGTCTGATGCGTACTTTGGCTGTACGGTTTGCACGGTTCAGATGCGATTCCCTGCAGGCGTTGAGAGCAGAGCGCACTGGATGACAGATGGTAAACGATGGTGAAAATGTGACCGCATGAACCGTGTAATGTCCAGCGTGCTTCGGCGGCGTATTCGCAAGATGGCTAAACTATGCAAATAGCAGTAGCGACAGCAGAAGCGGCAGTGGCAATGGCAACAGCAGCAGGAATAGTAGGAGCAACGAAAACAATCATCCACAACGAAAAGTGTATCACGCAAGCGGCCCGACCCGCAATGTGATTACCACTCATTGCCGCCGCCCTTCGTTTTTTCGTCCCACCAGGTTTGAGCAGGTTCCCCAACTTCTTCGAACATTCTTTGGGGAAAAACGCACAAATCACGGCACTTTGCTGTGCTTGCTGTTGCCATTTTCCTGCACCGGCGTATGAGGAAAACTTCCTGAAATTTCAGAGCAGAACATTTGAGCCGCTCGCCTTCTCCCGGCGCTCGGCCTCTCCGCCCGGCAGGAATCCGCCCACCGCCACCCTTTGATTTTTGGCGTCCTCAACAAAGTCGATGCCCATGGGCCGAGGCAGGGACGCGCGAATGATCTTGGACGGGCCCCGCAGTATCTTGCCGAACACAAATGTCCTGTGGGAGCGGAGGCAGAGAGCTACAGGCATTCGAATGAAGCACAGGCGACAATCGACTGCGTTGACTACACAACCGCATAATGAACCTGAAAACAATGAGATTGGTTAATGGGAATTGTAATTGCACTGAATGTAATGAAAACCGAATGGTAGTAGCTGAGGAGAGAATAAAGGATGAGCAGTCGCTGAAGCTTCGCCTTAGACGCCCCGACTTCCTTCACTGACAGCAGGACTAGGCACTTAAAACACGCGATATTATCCTGCATCCAGTATTCGCCCATCCGAGGGGAATGAGCATGGGTCCAAACGCATCAGTTGCTGAGGTTTGCATCCAAGTTTCCCACCAGAGTGCAACAATACGACACGATTTAGACCAACAACAGCAGTCAAAATATCTCGCCAGCAGGACCTGTACCTTGGCTCCTTGTTGTTTACGGACCCCACATTAATTCGCACACGCTCCCCCTCCTCCCCGTCTGCAACTGGCCACGGTGTGTAGGATATGGCTCGAAACACAAGCTCTCCCTGCACACCATTGTGCCCACGTTTCTTTTCTTTTTCTGCGAGAGTGGAAAGGTGGGAAAAAAACCGCTGTGTAGTGGGCACACAGAGCCTTATGCAAATGAAGCGTTGCGACTGCACAACTCACTGTGCACAACCTACAAAAACAGCAACCACCAGAAATTGGAAGATCATGTTGACTTTGGGTTTTCGAGAACACGACCGCGTGCTTTCCCACATTCCCATGTTGCTGTTATGTCAGGCACTCCTCAGCCAGAATAAGAACACTGGAAACTCCCTGAGCGCCTACCCTGCTAATGTACTAGACATAACGCCATAGATTAGAAATGTGCCCCTGCAACTTTTAAGTGCCCAAACCATGCACAAGCAGCGACACACTTCCTCACACTTCTCCATGTTGTTGTGCTGCTCAAGCGGACGCCACAAGCAGCGCTCCTGGTGCCACAGTGCCAAAAAAATGGCACTCTGAAATGGACCGCACCTTCCTGTCCCTTTCTGGGGCACTTCCCTCTGGCGCCTGGAACACGAATCCTGTTGTGGGGTCCTCGAATATTTCATCCTTTTCTTGCAGTTCCTTGGGGACCGGACGCAGCAGGTAGGCTATGGAGGCGATGGCCACCAACAATGGAATGCCGATGGCCACCACGAAGGCCTTGTCCATTGCTGCTTGGCATTGCTAGGGTGATCCACAGGTCCAGGAACTCAGCAAGTACAGAGCATAAAAAGAGGTCTGGGAGTATAAAGAGAGTATTGTGGGAGTATGCCAACAACAAGATTTGATAGGGCTCAGGGCCGGTGCCGCTCCTACCCTAAACGAAGTTGGAACTAGTACATCAAAAGCAATTCACTGATTTTCTGGAAATGTTGGAATCAGCTTTTGCAGTGGAATGACGGCCATGTGTGCCCACCAGAAACCTAACTTCTGTATTGAGTCATTGAGCGCTAGGGTGTGCATGGGGCTTTGCAGAAACAGTAAGGAAACAACCCTTGAAGCAAACGGGTACCACAAAGTACTACTGGTTACTTGGCCTTGTCCCCGCGACAACCAAACTATAGACAGCAGACAGAACAGCAGACAGAACTGCCCGTTAGCCTTTTGTCCATAATCGCAGGGAGCCAGGGCAATGGGATCTGTGGTGCAGCAGACAATGGCATTCAAATGAGTTTTGCAGCTCTTGGTGCAGTTGGTTGACCTAGCAGCCCCTTGTTGCCCACATAGGCAACCAACCTGCTGCGTACTAGTAGTCGTAGTTTTGTCAGTGTCCACAAAAGCCAATAAGTGATTCACATGCTGCGTTTGATACAGCATTTCCTTGTCGATGGAGGCTGCAGTTTCACAAACTCTCAATGCATCCGAAACAGGGCAACAAGAACCAGCCATCCAGCTGCACAAGACAACAAACAAAGGTGCCCAACGCCCAACAGCTCTGCCTGAGGCATTGACTGCCCCACCACAGAATTTTGGGGCCCCCAGTCCCCAATGGACTTTCATACATTATCTTTCATCGAGGTTGAAATTCTGAGTCCAGGAATGGGATCGCCACACAATGGCTGGATGGCAGGTGCAGAACATCTTGGGCTGACCCCTTTCAGCCAACATGTTCAGAAGTCCTACAGCCGGCGGTATGATTGAAATGTGGCCACATGCTCATACAAATATCACAACCACGCAATGAACAGAAACACAGAGACTGATGTTGCTTGAGGCTGTGCACATCAGTGCATTGCCTTTACAAAGTCTCTGTTAACTTTGTAGCCGTGAGCTGCAAGCTGTTACTATATTAATATTATTATTATTATTTAACCATGGTGGGAAGATGGAATGAGACCACGGCACAGGTACTGAAGGTACTGCACAATGGGAATCAATTGCGACTCCCAGCGGGGGGTTGCAAGGCTTGTTATATCCCCACCCTTTGACCCCTCCTTCCCTCCCCATCGAACCGCCATGGTCAAAACAGGCTGTGCAATTGCCTGGATTTGGTGGGGACCGCAAACTACAGCGCCGTGGAGTACCTCACAGCTGTCATCCAAGGCTTCACAGATACCCAAGAGCACCAATCGGATTCCTGGCCCCGCCTTTTCAATCAATCTAAAAATTTCACACACATATGGGACGAGGAGGATGCACCTCCCATACACGTCCCCATCGCACCAAGAGCAATTCCCCAAAGTACTGAACACAATATTTTGCGCTCACTGCGACCAAAAGGCACCACACCAACAAGCAGTTTTCCTTTTGTTTTGTTTTTTTCAATGATGGAATGGCAACGGTCACTCATTTGCTACCCTACCTGGTCAAAGCACATCCCCGGAACGAAGGCAGAAGCCATCGTTAAGTACTGGAGGTGGCCGTCGCGGCACGCCACGGCCATTCGTCGCAAATGCGGCGCTCCAGCGAGTGAGAAACCCAGGGTGTGGCGATGCCCATTAGGGCCGCATGAGAATCCGGCCATCCGGCAGAATTTGGGGTCAGCGGGGGCCCGGAGAAATCTGGGGCCAGCGGCCGGGACCAGGCGGTCGTTGCCGGCCCGGGACGCCGGTGACTGAACCATGGGTCTGTTGGGCGTGCCAGGGAGGACGTCGACTCGCTCTGTTTCCGGGCCGGGGAGCGGGGCGCGAGAGCGCAATTTTGACGGGATGATAGGTTGGAGGTTCACCTCTGTTTCAACCTTTTCACCTCTGTTGGCTGGCCTCTCTTGTAAGAAGGTCGATTAAACCCGTCGTGATTCTCTCCTTTCCCCCCCTCCTCTCCTCCCTTTTTCACGATCTGTTGCTTCCTTTCAGGCACGGCTTCTGATAAGGTATAACTTGCCCTGTGCTTCAGGCTGCCGCGGGCTTCACAGCACCCCCGACGTGTTCTGACAAGACATTAATGTCTTAACCTTAAACATGAACCCGTTCGAGTTTAATTAAACACGAGCAACTTCCTAAGGCTGGGCGACCGAAGGTACTCCGAAGCTACCAAGGCTCGGTAGATGCACAGCTGGGGATACTGTAAAATACTCAACCCTTCCGCATCAGAAAATTTCACCCTCACGCTTGTTGCTCCGCATTCTGTTTTCAGAGCGTTTTTTTGTTTTCTTTACACTGCTCCGCACAGAAAGGCTAAGACTTGCGTTGCTATTTATGTTGCTTTCCGCAAAAAGGCCAAGCGTTACGTTACTACGCCAAAGGCTTTAATATGTTGCAGCGTGTTAGGTGCCTTGTTTTCAGCATCTCTCGCGTTGTGTCGTATTTGGCAACAACGCGCCTTGCCTGTGGCTGCCTGGATGCGACCCAACGGACACACGCAGTGCGTTTGTAAGCAGTACGTATTGTGCTTGGTTGTCTGAAAATGGGTGTCGGGAGGGGGTGGGGGGGTGAGATTGTCGCTCAACTATAGGATGAACTTCTGCTGTGCGCTGGAATTTCCAGCACTTGCAAACATGGCGATTGAGTTTCAGAACGTCGACGCAAATTTCGGCACGTCCCAGCAAACGGCATCGCAGACCGGCCGTGTCCACACATGGTGTGTGGTGTGCGCTTGTGTCCGTTCTAGCAAAGCTCCATGAAAGCCCAGGTGTGGTGTACATTTCCTGCCCCAGCACCTATGTTGGCCACAACATTGTGTAGAACAACGCGTATGATGTGTAGCCCTGCCCATGCTTTGACACCAGTTGATCATAAGCAATTAGCGTCAACAGCATGGTCAGCATCTCTCACTGGTGATCATCAGTGCGTTCAGCGTTGTAGCAGAACTGGCATATGATAGCGTCCAGGCAGGCCGATGGTCACTGACTGGTGGTAATGTTGGTGACGTTTGGCCTGTCACAGCTACTCCCCCGCCTTCCCTCAAAACCATCACAGTTCTGCCCTGAAAGCAAATCAGCCCAATGATCCTTGCGCCCATCCGCCGCTTGCCAACATCACCAACGCCAAATCACCAAAACTGAAGGCCCCCCCTCCCCATCTCCCTTATGAAAGCCCCAAGCAAATACGCACATTTGCACGGGTGTTGTATAATGCACGGATCCATCACACCTGCCCCTCGAACCTCCTTCCTGCCCACTCATCCGCATTTTCGTTCGCTTGTCAGACCGCGCTTTGGTGGCAGTTCCCCCACATCCGTAGCCGCAACCCCTTGCTTCCTTTTTTGTACGCCCAAGCACCCTTTTCGTTTGAGAGCCTCCGCGGAGTGGGAGAATTTGCGGCCACGCGTTGGCCGACGTCAGTTTTCATTCTCCGCCATTACCCCAGCGAGTGCAACTCACACACCGCGCTGCATAAGCCGCGCAGCAGTAAGAGGCTCTGGCGCCAGATCAGGCCGACCCTTCCCCACGATGGGCCACCCAAGCCGGTTACGAATGTTTGGAAATGGCCCCCGCATCCGCAAATCTTCCGCCCCACAAGATTTCACCCGCAGTTCCCTACCACTCCCCGGCGCCACCCCGCAGTCACCAGTCAGCTGCAAAACCGCCCCCACAACACCTGAAATGACCACAAAATCGCCTGTGAGTGCCCATCGCCACGTTCCCGCCGCCTGATGGAGTCATCCTCACCGCCCGTATCTTCGAGGATCTGCTTCTGGTGCCCAAGCACATCCGCTCCGACACGTCGCAACTCCCCAAATGTATTGCCAGGGGCCCAAATACTGTCCCTGTGGGCCGGGCCTCATATCACACGACCTTCCCCCAAGCCTCGAGCCACCAACACAGCGGACGTCGAAGATGGCAGCGCGTGGGGTGGCCCTCGCCGGTGGGTGCTCCCTCTCCGCTCTTGCCTCGCCTGCCACTTTCGCGCTTTTAGCCCCACGGGAAGTGCCCATCCCGCCCCAGGCCGCCGATGCCTTGCCCGTGGCGGCGCATTGCTTTGTGGCTCCCGGTCCCGCCGAAGTTTCGAGTGCTCCCCTCGCAACGTCGCCACCGATGAGAATTTCCCCACGATGGAGTCCAGCGCCTTGGGCGCTTTTCTCCACCTCCCACACGATATTGCCCCATTTGCCCTTGAGCCCTCCCCCCTTCCCTTTTGCCCGTTGCACGCTGCCCACAAAACAGGCACCTCACCCTGCTGCGACGTTTTCGAAGGAATGTTTTGCGCCCGGCGTTCATGTCCAGCGCATGGTGCTTTGTGGCTTCCACGAGTCAAACGCCGAAGTCCGCAGTCAAACCGCCCATCGATTGACCGTTTCCATCGCACCCAACGCCGCGAGGCATGCATGACGTGGCGGGAAACATTTCCTAGCACGTTAATGTTCCGTGTCCCGAGGCGTGAGTATGGACAAGAGCCTGTGCGAGACCGTTACGGGATTTTCTGGTCCTTTGTGCCTTTGTCCGACACTGTTCTTGGCGGGAGCCACATGATGGCCCTCCCCTAGAGGGTCAAGGTTGATCGGTCCCTGTTTCGAAGCAGCTGCGCGTGGAACTTTTGTTGGCACCGAGAAGGGTCAACCGACTTGCCCGTCGTCGGCTCGAGCGCTCTCGAAGCTTCCAGAAGCGAAGGAGATGTTTTCCGATTACCCTTTTCCGTTTTCCGTTTTGTCATCCTGTTGTGGAAGACCAGATGCAATCAAAAGGAACCCGGTACCAACAGAAATCCGGTATCGGCAGAACGCCGGTATGGCCTTATCCGCCCTCTGGGTGGTTTTTGAATTTTCGCAGAATCACGCGAAGCCGCATGCTGCCCTCACGGCGGCGCCCAGCGACCCTTGGACCCGCCGGCCGATGGCATTCAGCGTCCACCTTCGCCAAAAGTTAACGACGACGCTGACCGACCCATTGACTTGCAAATGTCCCGCCGCGCCCCACGATGCCCAGGATCCAAGCCCTGCCCGATGGGGCCACTCCCCTTCTATAACCCTCGTCATCCATTCCGTTTTCTTTCCCACCGTGCTCGGGTTAGATTTTGTTCCTGCCGAGGTTGCCGCAGCTTTGCGATTCTACGCCCATCAATTCAATGCCCAGTTGTGTCCAAGCCGCACGCGACGGTTGGGAGGAACGGCAGGCGCCGTTTGGCTGGGGAGGGGTCCCGGGAGCTTTGCCGCTGGGCCGGCCGCAGAAGGTTTATTCAACGATCACAGGGGAGGGCGTTGCACTGAAGGGGAAGTCGTGAGCGTGTTGGTGATGGGCAGCCAGAAACCCTGGCGGATTTGTCACCGCCTTTCGGTCCGACACGGTCCGAAAAGGAGACGCCTCGGAGCGTGACTCCAGTTCTCGCCGGTACTCTAATTTCTCCCCATTGGACGCATCTCTGCTTGTGCGCACAGATTCTCCACTGTATTACTAATATGCGGCGAAATCGAGCTGATAGGACTGCTGTGCCTTGCAGGCCTGGTGCTTGCTGCGCTCTGCACGCTCTGCGCGGCAGGCTGCGACGACCAATACGACATCTCGGGCACGTACGATGTGGACGGCTGGCTTCCAGGTACCTTCAAGTTGCTCATTCCTCCATCTCTCATTTCCCATCTCTGGGCATTCCTCCATACTTTTCTACTTCAATTTCATCGCCAAAACGTCGTTTTGAAACGGTGCTTGTTGGCGAATTGCTTGTGCACACTCACGTCATTTTCGACAGCTACAAGACGTTCCTGGCACCTTGTGGAGCGGCCAGAGTAGGACCAACGGTGTGGACAGAAGTATGCCCGCCATGTGACAGATACATAGCCTCGATCACTAGGGAAAAAAGGGCCAAATAATCCGTGTTCAAATGTGTACAAAATTTACGGGTTTGTGTTATTTATGTGTTCTCAGCGTGCAGAACGTTGATGAAATGTGTTGTATGTGTGTTTGCAATAGTGTTATTTGGCCCTTTTTTTCCTAGTGCATTGTGTGCGGTCAATGCTGTGCATTTAGTTAATACGTCAAGACTTTATTCAACAATTAGACCTTCCGGAGCGACCAGAGTCGGGCCGCTTTGAGAGTCGAACAAACGCCGTTGACGTAAAGATGAGCGTCATGCGACAAATGCATTGTCTCGATTGTGCACGGTCAATGCCTTTAGTCAACATATTTGCATCGATTCAAAGTGTTTGGATTCACCACAAACTTTTGCACCTGATCAAATGTTCGCATTGAACAAAAGTTTTCAGTTAGTAAACGTGTTTGCATTCAGGCTTGATTTTTGCACCTGCGTTTACATTTTAACATTTGCGTTTCTACGCACAAGAACGTACATTTGCGAAAGGGGCTAATTTTTACGTTTTGCGGCTCCCTGGTACACCCAGGTTACAGGGTGAAAGTCCCGTACAGTGATCAGTCCTCCGCCATCTCCAGCACCCGCAACACAGCGTCCACCACGCCTTCAGCAAGGGCAATGATGGCGTGTAACAAAAACTCGTCTTCTGCCCCTTCTAAGCGCCTGGATGCTATTCCCCGGACTCCCCAAATGTATATATCTG